CCAAGCTTCCTCAGCCTTCAAGGCACAAGGCAAATGAAAAGGCGCCGGACGACGGCATCCACTTTTGCATTGATTTGCACTGGCTCGCACAGGCATGGGGACCGCTGGGGATTTGATGAGCATCGACGCGCTTTGCTCGGCACACAGGACGACTGCATCACGCACGTCACAGCCTTCACCGGTTTTCAGGGCTCAAGCTCCTGCATTTGCACATCTGAGAATTGCAGCGTAGAACCCCATGCAGACAGCCCCAGCCGGCGGAGCCGCCTTCAGATTGACGATGGCGGTCGCCTTGCACATGGGATAACCAGCTTCTTGCGCGTTTGGGCGCTGGCGAGCCTGATTGTCGGGCCAGGACCGCTGTCTGTTTCATGAGGACTCAGCTCCTCCGCAACCGAGACGATGGTTAGAGGCAGGGATCCTAGTAAGCTGGACCAGGGCAGACGAATCGTGACCCGTGGAGTAGGGTGAGGTGACCAGAGCTGTTAGTTCGTAGCCGGCGCGTATTTCAGGTGCAGTCGACGTGCTCTCACGGCCCATAGACTATGCAATGCTCCATCGGCGGCTCTCGCGACTCCATGAACTACAACCTTGTCTGTTAGTTCGAGCTGTACCATGGCATTTGCTGTTTTGGTTCAAGCGTTGGGCGCGCGGGTCGGGTCTGGCACCACGATCTTTTCGCGAGGCTGCCAGCCGGCAGAGATCGCCTAATAACACCACTTCAGCTTAGCATGGTGGGAAATGAACCGCAACGTCCCGCATGCTATACCTTCGTCCCTTGAGCATGTAAAGCGATGTGAAACTGAAGCGGTGAGAGCTTTACCGAATGTGTGAGGATAATGACATTATCTGCTCAATGGGGGCGTAAGACGCATTATAGCCGGTAATCTTGATGAATAGGGAGCTCAATCCAGCGGCCTCCAGGGCCGTTGCTCGCTTCGGCACGTGTCTGCGTTGGATGCCGTCGAGCTCTTGCAGCTTGGGTCGCGTCGGCTGATGAGCGCGTCTAGGGTGTAGAGAAAATCAAGCGAGATGACTTGACTTGACTTCAGCTTGCAGATGTGGCCCCTCTCCGCGGCGCTGGTGTTTGTTGACAGGCGACGGCCTACGAGCTTGATAGTTCAATAGCCGTAGGGCTAGACACTCGATTTCGTCCGACAAAGACCTGTGCGTTGAGACATGACCAATCCAGCGCTCTGTAACGTACGAGCGCGCCAGTGATCACCGTTGGCCCGCCCGGAAAGGTTCAAAGCGCGATGGGCTTAGTGCGGGATGTTGAGAAATGAGAGGCACGTGCTGGGCAGCCGACTTAGCTTCGTCACAACCATGCGTTTGTTCTCCAAGCAGCAAGGTCCAGGGAGGCTGCATCGCGTGGAGCATCGCGGGTGGGTCACAATGAGACATCCATGGATGGAGGCCGAGAGCACTTTGCCGCGACCCGCTGATGGCGCGATTCAGGCGATTGCTCGGGCTGGACTGGTTCTCCCCTTCCTGAGGTTGTGGAAACACCGAAGTCAGCCCGCCGGTACTTACCATCTGGATAGATCTACGGCGAATGGATTACCCTTTCGGAACACATGGAGATACCGCACTCAGATCAAGATCATCGCATGATAGAGGTGGTGCTGGTGTCGCGCTCGCCGAAATGACGTACCCAGACAACAGCCTCTTAGGGAGACTCGACTGTCGGCGTCCCCGCAAACAGGTCGCCGGGAGGAAGAGGCAGGAATCACACGGCAGGATAATTCGAGTAGGATCACCTCACGCTGCAGATTATGTCCGTCACAACGGGCATGGCTTGATCGAAGGATGCAATCACAGTCGGGCACGTGCGGGACCCACTCCTGTCGCGAAAGCTATCTGATTCGGTTGGGGAGATGATCCTTCGTCGACTACACCCACCCTCTGTCGCTTACCTGGCATGCATCGGTCAATATTGCGGTATGCAACAGACGCATCTGGGCAGCATCCTCTACTCTCTCACCTCTACCTATACTACCTCATCGTGCGCCAAACCATCACAGCCTCACCGCCGTGGCAGGGCTGTACCTCTGTCTTCCATCTTGCGCGGGGCAGTTGCACCAGATGCAGGCCCAAACGAGACTAGCGTCGTTGCTTCCCGTGCCTAAAAGTAGCTCCACCCACATGTCTGCCTCCCGGCTAATCCTCCATGAGGCTGAACCGACAAAGTCTGCCTCGCCAAAACTGTCATCACCAGCAGCACATCATCGCGACTTCTTCATTATTCGTCGCAATGACGGCATCGTCTTCGCTAGCAATCAACTTTTGAATCCCGATCGCGGTATGCACCGGCCGGAAGAAGGTTTGCAGGCAGCCATGTACCATCGCAGCCTGGTCTGCTCCCACACGTGCCTGGCTCCGCCATGCCCAGAATACTGAGCATCCACATGCCCTCCGAGTTTGCTGCCTTCTCTTCGACGTGCTTCTCATGTTGCGACACCGGCACCTACGGGATTGTACATCGCACATCTTCGCTTTCTCCCTATTGGACGAATGAATAAGCCTTCAGCCAGTCCCCCACCCCCACCCAACCTGTAAGCGCCGCCCAGCAAGCCACCACTCAACCACTGTCTCCCATCTTCCCATCGTGTTTCCTGCCCGGGAGAAAGAGCCTCAGGCAAACCACATGACTCAGCCCTATCAGAAAATTCGAAATAGAAGGATTGGCTGAGGCGATGCTTCGTGTGCTTGTCAATTTACACATTTCGTTCCTCGCAGCCTCAGCTCACTAACCCTTTTTGGATTCGGGAGCTACTCGAAGCACTCTCTACTGCTATCACTTGCTACATTACCGCCTTACTACTGCAGCTTACCTCTTGTCGATAAATGAACAGCTACGTGCAGGCGAGTTTCGATACATCGCCTGCTGTGACAGCCACTCTGGCTACTTGTTAGTACTGGAACCAACACGACTACATGCTCGAGAACCAATCCCACGGTTGAGCGCCGGCGCTTAGAAGTACCTCCGGCCGAACTGCCGGCCAACAAGACATACTGAAACTCTCAAATGCACTAACAGCGGTCGCAGATGTGGTCGTTGAAATGCGCAGGTCAACGTAATCCCAATACGACCTTGTAAGAGCGGATACCGCGGGGCAAGACATGATAGTATTGACTGATCATTCGGTTCATCGGCTGCATATACGGCTATACAGAGAACTAGGCCTTCCAGACATCACATCGCACGAGATGAAGTCGCTTATGTCTCTGGAAGGCGTTGCGAACCCGTGTTACAGAGTGAGACAACATACCTCACTGCGTAATTGCTATCAAAGGTCGCAGTAACGGCCATCACATGGTGTGAGTATTGAACGACAAGCCCGCTAATGCATCGCAAGCAATACACTTATGCAGCAACGAGGCGATGCAAAGACGTTTCAGAACCAACACCGTACTACCATCTAGTATGGCCGTCGGTTAGAAGAAGACCTGCGAGACCCATCACCCAACCCCGCGCATACTACGGCTCGAGACTCTGCGGCGCAGTCAGATAGGTGCGGCAAAGTGCGTCAAGACTTCTGATCTGACAGATTGTAGCTGCGGCGTGGCTATCTGGCCTCAGCCCTCAGGTCCTCTCCCGTCATCGCATGTCAGGCACAGGCACACGGGCGTAGCTGTGCCTCTACGGGAACGTCCGCGACAGTCAGACGCTGCGTTCCGAACCTTCTCACGCCGTGCCTCATGCGAACTGGCCGCCGCTGCCGCTCTTTGTGTCTCATTGAGTGTGTGCCGCAGTGGGACCGACGGTTCCTTCCACCCAACGCTGGGCGGGAGGGCGAGCTCTACTGTGCCGCAAGGCCGCAGAGATGCGTGACTGGAAGACATCGATCGCGGTCATCCGGACTCATCAGCGACCTCTTTCATGACACATTTCACCGGGCGAAGTGAGAACGGACGGCTCTACTCCGGTATCGAGTAGATGAGTCTTCCTTCTTGCCACGTTGCTTTGGACTTGACGTAAGAGTTGTGGGCTGTTGGAGTGTGGTGGGTGACTTGGAAGAAATTTTGCTCCACGCGCTCAACTCTCATTTTCTGCGGATCGACAAAACTGACGTAGTTCATGCATAGCCAGTTCCTTGAATCACGGCGATCTGTTGAAATGATCCAGGTGTGTGCGACTGCTCTGCCGGCTCCCGGAAGTAGGCTCGACCCGGAGCATCCAGTGTTGTAGCTGGGCATGGAGAATATTCGAGCCTGGAGTATCTCTCGCAGCGCATCTTTACTGTATGGCATCTTCATCATGGAAAGGCTTTACGACATACTTTGATAAACCCATTCACAACTCTAGGTAGAGTAACGCTGGCATGTGTCGTGTGGGTGAACATTCACACACAAACAGTGCTGCGCTACATAAACTCGGCACGATGAGTTCTACCTTTCTGCCTCACACAGCATATCTTTTGCACCATACAAAACTCCAGTTCTGCTCTGCTAAGGATTTGCGATACTCGATCCTACTGAACTAAACACTCCGCACCGTACTGTTTGCAGAAACGATGGCTTTTACAAGCTCGCTCTTCGCGCTGGTGAGTATCTACAGAGACCTTAAATAACGAGATTTCCCACTAACAGCCGTCCAGCTCTTCTTTACACTATGTCTCGCGGTACAGGCCAGTCCTGTCCCCTCCACGCCTCCCAAGCTATACGAATCCCCATTCTCGGTCCTTCTCCCCCGCGAAAGCGACCACGATGACAACGATTTCACACACTCAGAAAAGGCTGGCTTGTACACAGTCATCTTTCTCAGCATGACGATACTGTGTTTGTGGTTACTTGTGGGCATCACAGTTGCGGTCTTGCGGAGAACGAACGATGAAACGTTTTGGGCAAACTTCAAGGATGGTTTATTTTGTGTGAAGGATCCAGATGATATTTGAGGATGTGGTGCGAAGGTGTTGATACTTGGTGGGATGGCGAGGGATAGGATTGCATGTATTGTAATATAGCGACAAGTGGTCTCATACTCTTTTTTGCTACGGCTAGTCCATCGCTTCGTCCATCTCCTCGTCTACCTGCTCGTTCACCCACTCGTTCACCCACTCGTTCACCCGTTTGTCCACCCACTCGTTCACTTCTTCGTCCACCACGTACACCTCTTCTTCGACTTCTTCGTCCAACTCCTCGTCCAACTCCTCGTCCAACTCTTCGTCCATCTCTTCGTCCATCTCCTCGTCGTCGTAAATGATAGGCTTGCTACGCCGCAGTGAACAAATTTCTTGACGGCAAACAGGGCACTTATTTGCGTACGCATCAATGCCGTTGATCAACATCGTCAAGCATTCATAGTGATACATATGTCCCCCGCTGCAATGCGCACGCATAGGCATTTGCAGACATAGCCCTTCGACTACAACAAGCGCGTCGCCACATATCGTGCAAGCAGCGTCTGGCTCAATCTCACTTGCTACACGTACCGGTGAAGAGCAGATACGCGCACTTCGTCGCGGACTATCCGGCTCCCTATCCACGTCCTCCATGAACCAAGGCACATGCTCCTCCTCCTCGAGCAGCGGAATAGTCAGTTCGCCATAGGAGAAACGGTGCCCATCCTGGTCTTCCCAACCGTGAGGAAGAAAATTAGCAAGCGGCGTCGGATTCGCAGCGAAGAAACCTTGCCATCGGAATGGACTGTGCATGACTTCGGTCACTGCGTTTCCAATCTCGAAGTAGCGGAAGTGGCCACGGACTTCAAGCCTGAAAGCATCCTTCACGCGATGCGCCATCCAGTGATGGAGACGCCAGGCTAGTTCCTGCCGCACCGGAGTCGTCTTCGCAATGGCAAATGCTTGGTGCAACAGTGAACGTGCCAACACCATTACATCGAGGCGCGCCAAATCGCACCTCTCAGCCAGTGGAACCATGCTGAAAGGCTCTGATACGATCGAACGGGTGTACATGATTGCATCCATGGAAAATTCGTGGGCAGTTTCCTTCGTAACCGTGAAGTCACACTTTTGGAGGAAAGCAGCCGCACGCACAGCGATCTCCGAAAGCACAGCTAGCGTATTCTTAATCTTTTCCTGGTTTACAGTATCAATCTGTTTGCGTATCGCTTCGATGAAATGTGTCTCCCCATCTCGTTGTATGGCTATCTCTATTTCTTTTTCTTTTTCCTTGGTCTGCACTGCACATCGTGGCTGCAGTTTTATGATGTATTTCAATAGCTCTTTGAAGCCTCCGTGTCGGATGAGAGTTCTCAGCGTAAAACCTGTCTGCTCGCCAACGTGATAACAATAGCTCTTAGAGGTTGTCACTAGCGTTAGACGGTCATGTTCCGGTAGGTTGCGGATGAGTTCGGTGGCGACGTCGTAGTGGCAGGGGAATGCTTCAAGAGTGTTGGTATCGGGATGTTGCGTATGGAGCCAGCTACGGAGGTCGTGCCATTCTCCAGGTATAACAGTGGCGTCGAGGAGAGTTACAAAGGCATCGTCAGTGCGGCATTGTAAGGCGTAGTCAACGAATATCTGGTAGGCTTGCAGGACTCGGTAACCTTCTTCTGGGGTCTTTGTGTGGGATTGTAGGATGTTGATGAGGATGGGTAAAGGGGATGGAGGCGTGCTCGTCGCCATGGTCGTGGATTTGTCTTTTGGTGTCGCTTGCGTCGGAGTGAATGACATGGTCTCATGAGGTATGGAGCATATGTAGTCATTGAAATGACATTGTAGATCGAATTGTCAAATACATTGTCTGAGAGGTAGGTACGCTCACAATGCTATGGGGTTCCAATACGGTTGTTGTTTTTGTTGTACTGAGCCACGAAGTTGATGAGAATAGTACATCTAAATCGACAGTATATTATACTTGCAATTTCTCTCATTCGTGAGAGTGTCTTTTCGTTAAGGTCGTCGATGTTGCGGAAGTTGTGAGTAGCTCGCCTCGCTCTGCGTCATCGCAGTACTGTGGATGAAGTAGATGGCAACCAAGAGAGGGAATCGGAAGGATAGTTGAGTGGACGTCGACGTCTGGGAGGACGCTAGAAGAATAAAAACAGGCGAGAATTAATGACTCTGACTAACTTCGCACAGCTTCTGGGATTTTGCGTGATGTCGCCGGAAGCCATGCTTAGGTCAGTCGTCCACTGCATTTGTTGTTACTTGACAAGCCATCGACGAAAGCCGCTCACAACTTTGTCAACGAAACACCTTGTAGAGACCAGTAGGCTGTGTGAGATGATAAGGATCGCAAACCCCAGAATCGAGTCCATATCGACAACCGCGCCTGGACTTAGTGGGTACGACTGCGGACTGGACAACTCTTAGTGACCTTGAGACTAGTATGTGGTCTTCGCTACCTCCCCAAGCCCTCTGCGTTGATCCTGTAGCTTTTCCCAAACTCATCGATGGTGTTGTTTGGAGGTGATGAGGTCCGGAGGGTCTGCGAAGTCAGAAAGATACCTAGGTAACACCACCCACGCAGAGGCAGACGAAAGCACAGATGCATTTCGAACGGAACAGTGGAGGTATTTCGTGCTGGCTCCCACCAAAAAGCAAAATTTCCGCAAGCTGCGGCCGTCGCTGAACTTGGGGAGTTCAAGGGACTCTGAAACTACCCGTAAAAAGCTCCTGGTATTAGATTGCCAGGGGCACCCAAGCTCGGGAGATCTCCACGTGAACAACGCGAAGACGTGACGCGCTCAATGATTACCAAAATGTCTCTGCGCAAGCGGTCTGTAATGCGTGCATCAGAGTCAGCTCCCTTAGCTCAACCTGCCGCCTAGGCTCTTGTCCTTGTCATGACCAACGTGAGAGCCGTGATTGGTACCTCGGGAGGTGAAAAGGTTGCGATTGGTGCTGGCAGGCATGTATCGAGCTCAACATTTCTTTTGCGCGGTGGCTTTGTCCCATATCACTGCGCCATCACGAGCGAAAGCGCCACGTTGTCGCGTTTTGGGGTTAAGGTTGGCGCTAGCGTCGATGATCGTCGTCGGTACGGGGCTCCGCGATGGCGCAGTGACGTCGCTGGCGAAGACCTTTCCCCTTCTGCCACCAGGCAAGCGAAACGCCAGACCACCTAACGCCATCGAGCGAGAAGGCGGGATTTCAACTTTCGCATCATTTCCTGGCCAAAATTCGATCGCGACACGAAACGCAGAGCCGCCGATCTCAATCAGCCGGATCAATCTAACCGAACCGTACCTCCATGTATCGAGCCCTAGCAAACTACGGATTTCCGATCCGATCCTGGTTGCCATCACGGCACATCATGGCACATTGGCGAGTGTGCCAATATTTCCTGCAGCATCCTGACGTCGGTTATATCGCCAGCACACCGTGGACTCTGCAAGTTCACAGCGAACGCCCTGTATAGATAGCATTAGGCTAATTGGCAGCCTGTTCTGGTCCCGATGGGGCCGCATAGGCATCCCAGGAGCCCCTGTGCACTATCAGCGTTCGGCGAGGGTGAGTATAAATTCTCCGTCGAATTAGAGAGCCGGCGCTATCCTACCTGCCGATTCTGCAAGCTACTGCATAGTGCACCGAGATATGATGTATCTATTATGGTCACCTAACCCCTGCTCCATGTACGGAAGATGTGTAGGCCATGGGAGTCTGCTTCGAGAACTTGATTACATTCGTTCTCGGATTCACTGCAGTGGTTCAGAAATTGCGACTGACACGTTTCGACAGCTCCACCAATCCACACTTCTTCGATGACAGGAGACCGCGCTCACTCTTGTGGCTTGATCGAACCCAATGAGTGTTAGCTGCTGAGAGCAAATGATAACGCCTCCTTTATCATCGCGATCACTACCTTGAATCTGGGGAATCGACCTTCGATCCAAGTGAATGACTGGCGCACTGTGTGGATACAAGTGGGTCACTCGAGTTGTGCTGAATACCAAAACCCCATGATTTTGACTCGCTTTCAAGCGCTTGGCCGCGGAGCACCACGACTCAGGTAAGTAATGGGTAATCCGGAAACATCTGATTGGGTTGCTGCGCTCTGCCTCATCCATGTGTGGATCTGTAGCCGCATGGCGTTTTGACTAAGTCTCCCCCAGTTCTAGCTGGCGATCATGATGACAACCGTACGAAAATGGAAGCGCGACACACTTCTTCGGCGACTTTTGATGAAGATCATACTCAACGTGGACGGTGCCAACAGACATCATCCATGCAGGCTTTACCGGAGCGGCGGAGAGGCTTAGAAGCAGCTGCGCGGAGAAGAAGTCTATAAATCCTCTTCACCGTGTGTTCTACATCAGTTCTTCAGCCAGAGCCATCACTTGCTCCTTCTCCCCTTCTCTCCTCATACCGACAATCTTGTGCCACCAACACCATGAGGTTCACTCAATCAGTCACTCTGGCGTTGCCAGCCCTCGCTGCCGCCTACCCCGGCATGATGGGCGCGAACTCCCGCCCAGAGATGGAGGAGTTCCTTCGTGGGGAGATCAAGCGTGAACAACTTGCGAACCGCGCCGCTGAACCCCAGCTGCTCAACCCAGTCGGCAACCTGTTGGGCTCGCTTGGCGGTGTTGTTGATGGGCTCCTGTCCTCGGTCGGACAGGCCATCGTCAAGAAAAGCAACCTGCGTCCTGAGCCTGGCTACGAGTTCAAGGCACCTGGTCCCAACGACTCTCGTGGTCCCTGCCCAGGTCTCAACTTGCTCGCCAATCATGGTTATCTCCCCCGCGACGGCTACGTCACCTACGGACAGGTTTTGGAGGCCACTGGGCGTGGATTCAACATGGGTGTAGAACTTGCCACAGTTCTAGCCACTTTCGCTGTCTTGGGCAGTGGAGACTTGGATGGCTTGTCCTTCTATCTGGGCTCTGGAAAGAACGGAATCGGTGGTCTCAACAGGCACTCTGTTGTCGAAGCTGATGTTTCACCCAACCGTGAAGGTATGTCTACTGACTCTCCAAAGCGAAACCTGGACACTAACATTGAGACAGATTACTACATGGGATGCGGTGACAACCATCATCTCTCTTCTCGTCTGGTGAAGCAGATGGTCGGGTATGCTGCCCAAGACCCCAAGAAGGAGTTCTCCATGGATGTCATGGCGAAGCACTACGCTAAATCGGCTGGCTTCTCCAAGGACAACAACCCCTTCCTCTACTACTTCCCCTTCCCTCAGATCGTCTCAGTCGCCGCCTTCTCCTTCTACCCCCAGTTCTTCTCTAACGGTACCTACGGCGCGGGTGGTGTGCCCAACTACAAGAGCATCATGAGCATCATCGGTGCTGAGTACGACGAGAAGACCCGGGAGTTCAAGTACGTTCCCGAGCGCTGGCCCGAGAACTGGTACCGTCGTGACACCCAGTACGGCGCGGTCCAGGCCCTCTCCGACGGCTTCCTCCAGATCTACCCCCGCAACATCATCGTTCCTGGCGTCGCTCAGGTCGGTACTGGCAAATTGACTGTCCAGACTGTGCTCTGCGATGTCTACCAGGGCCTCAACTCCATCACTCCGCTTGCGCTTGGCGGTACCGAGGAGAATGTCGCCAAGGGTGTCTCGTGGGCTCTTTCAGTCCTCGACCCCATTCTCAGCAAGACCGCGCTCGGATGCCCCGACAACGTCGTCTCACCCAACTTCGGACTGTTCCCTCACTCTCAACAGGAGGGTGGCCCTGTCAACCCCCCGAAGGTCCCGTCCGATGCTTGGACTGGCGACAACGTCTACAATAAGGTGTACTTTGGTGGAAAGAATGCTCCCACCAACCCCACGTGCAGCCACTCTAGTTAGATAGCTCTTGGTTGGAACGAGAAAAACTTGTAATAATTAGCGATATCCCAAATTATGACGCCTCTCCTTTACAGAGCACCCTAGACACTAATAAAAAGATCTTCATACAATGCATTCTTGACCTGTTGCTTGTGAATGACCTTCGATTCGACTATACCATTACCATAGCAATTCGTTAAACACTTCACTTTCTTTTTAGCAATTAGCACACGGGCTCTTCACCACAAAGCACTGAAGTAGTGCGATGATTCTCGCGATTTCCTGTCGCAACTACTGTCAACGCTTTGTACATTCCATTCATTGCTGGAATTTGGGTTTGTGAAATCGTAAGCTTTTATAAAGGCGTTGTGAGCTGGCCGGTATTTCTACCACCAGTAGACATACAGGAAGTTGCAGTACCTGTCTACAAGTACACGTGTCTTCAACTCACTCTACTATCATCATGGAAAGTTTACTAGAACCAGAACTTGAGCTACCCACCCCCTTAACGTACCTGCACACTCTGCTCACTGCAGCGGAGGACACACATGAAGCTCGCAGTAACGTCGTTGCCACATACGACACCATGTTGTTATATGCACTCAGTTACCCAAGGAAACGGGCCCTGGCTCTGAACTTATGGACGACCCATTTAGGAGTGCTCGCTTCCACGCCCTCTGGAGATTTCGGACAAGCGTGGCAGGAGCTGATGGACCGTCGTGAGGAGCTGGTCGACTACATGGACACATCGCAGATGGGCAGAGGGCAAAACGAAGTGTTCATGGGTGTACGCGTCGATGACCACACTCAGCTTTGTTTGACAATGCTGCAATCAGGCTACGACGGGCAATTTGTTGATTTTGTGACCCGGTTGATGGAGGAACAACCCCGTTACTTCGACCAGCCGAGCGATATCAACACCTTTATGCAACAGCGATTGGATTCAGAGGACTTTCCACATCTGGGCGACTTACTTTTGATCCCTGCACCAGCCACTGGACACGGCAATACGGCAGAGATTGTCTTTAATCTCTTAGTCCACCACATCGCATACATCTGCGACCTATTCCAGAAAACAAGTTATGCACCCAGTCCAGAGTTGGTGGAGGCATTGGCAGAGCATCGCATCGACCAGCTGTCGCGGATGTTTGCTGATCCAGGCAATCACATGCCGTTAGATGCGCGTGTACACTGCGCTGGCATAAACCATCGTACCATCCAGGACTTTGTTGTTTTGCGAGCGAAGGAGATTCTCGAAAGTACAGAAAGAGAGCTTCTCAACTGGCACATGTACAAGTGGCTTGTAGGGTGTGTGGAAAGCGTGATTCAGGATGTACCTCGCACTAGGATTTTTTTCGATGACCTTGGTCTTGGCGAGGTCGTAGGCGCGGACATCGTCGAACAGAGAAACTACGTCCCTTATCTGATCGTGAGTCTGACTATCCCTGAAGGTATGATACAGGAATGGCAAGAGTACGAGCCTGCTTCATTCGAAGACGTAAAGTGGGAAGCGACCGGTCCTTGTATTCTAGCCAGCAGCGTGGCTAGGCCTGTCCAGCTTGGTCCTGAAGCCATCTGTCCAGTCGATTTGGAGCCCTTTGACGTGCGCAACGCAGATACGATGGCTTGGCAGGTCGATTGCAGCCATGCGTTTCATGCGCAGTGCTTGGAAACCATGATCAACGGCATCGAGACGAACAGCAATCGGTGTCCGCTGTGTAGAGCTGGGATCTGTGATGCGAGAGAGCGGCGTCGGATTGAGTAGACCCTAGGGCCTACATCAAGATGAGAACATGTAAAGTAGGTGACCCAGCGTCAACGTTGGCTTCAAGGTATTTAGTCTCTGTCCTGTATGAGGTGGGCGAAGGAGAAGTTGATCACAACAGGCGGCAGGAAGCCATGCGATATCGCTAGCCCCACTCTAGACTTCATTACATAGCGGCCGCGCGTCGTGCTACAAGGTCATCACCAGCATGCATTACAGGGTAGATTTGTCTATTGAGGACGCGTAGAATGCGAATCTGGATCAATATCAATTTACATAGCAGGCAATGAGATTGTAGATAGCTGAACGCAGGATAAGTGATTCCCCGGGTAGACGCGGCATCGCCGAATCAAGACTAGTCTCAAGACCGCGCACGTGCGCACGCGTGACGCGTCTACGGGTCATCCATAGATGGAAACCTTCCATATACACCTGCCGCCAGAATTCACGTTCCTGGGCGCGTCAACTCTTCAGAGTGGCCTACGCGTAATTCTACAAATCACATCACTCTGAAGCACAAACGTCGCATTATGCGTCTTCCAAGGCCTATCATGCGCCATCTCCACCGTAAACCTCCTCAGTATCTCCGGCACCACCTTATACATCTCCGTATTCGAAAGCTACAGCACCATCATCAGTAAACGCGACAAACAAACCAACCCCCAGTTCTCGGCACTTACATGTTTCCCAATGCAAGTTCTAGTACCCGCGCCAAACACCAGCATAGCTTTCTGCATGGCTCTGTACTGACCGTCGTTGACGAGCCATCGCTCCGGACGGAACTCACGCGCATCCTCGCCAAAGACCGATTCGTCGAATTGCGTAACCATGGCATTCATACCGATCTTGAAGCCAGCAGGGATGTGATAGCTGAAGAGATGCAGACCACCGTTCGGCACATATCGCGGCATCGACACGCCAAACGGCGGGAAGAGTCTTAGCGACTCTTGGATGACGGCCATGAGGTAGGGTAGCTTGGTGGCTTGGTTGTATTGTACGGGACTGGTGAGCGTGCTGTTCTGAAAGGCAGCGTCGATCTCCTGGGTTAGTCGTTCCATCTTGGGGGGATGTTTCATGAGGAAGTAGAAGATTGCGCGGAGAGCGCCGGAGGTACTGTCTGAGCCGGCGATACTATTATTATGTATTAGCAAAAAAGGGTTCTTGGCAGACCCAGCTGTTGCTTACACAGCCGCCCACATCTCAACATGAATCTTCTCGATCGACAGACTGCCTCCCTTCTCCCTCATAATCCCTAATAACTGCGACAGAACATCCGTACGATGCGTATTCGCTTCCGCCCTTTTCTCCTGCGCAATACCAGTTTCGCGAACAGCAGTCTGCCCGATTCCATCTACAGCCATGATGGCTTTGAAGACTTTTGGGATCATGACGCCGATCTGGAGGAGGTACCCGCGGCACCACAGCGGCGCCATCGCGATGACGGAGCTCATCGGCATAGCGGTGTGTACGGCGGCGATGTAGTTCCCATAGTCTGAACTCGTTTCCAGGAAGCCGAAGGGCTGGCCGAAGAATACGGCGCCTACGCTGTCGAAGGAGAACCTGTACGTGTAGGTCAATACCTAGGTATGTTGCTGCGAGGACGGGTGACCTGGCACACTCACATCTCCAGCCATAACCCAAAATCAACATCTTCCTCACGGTCTGCAAATCTACCGAGCCTTTTCCCGAACAATGTCATCAGTTCGTCCACGGCCCGCTCGTTCTTCAATATGCTGCTTAGTGTGTACACAGAGCCGACGGTCCGTCGGTGAGCTGCATGATGTTTCTCATTGTCATCTGTGAATAAGTCGGGGCTGGGCCCTAGGTTCACCGCTCTATAGGTGAGGTACCAATCGGTCTTTTCAAGCGGCTGCTGTGTAGGATATAGGATAGGAATAGCACTGGGGTCGCTGACGTGCACTTCGTCCGGTGCTGTGCGCACGATTGGGCCGTATTCTAGTTAGTCAAACGCTATTAGCATGGTTTCTCAAGTGCCCAGAACTTAATGTTGTTCCGATACAAGCGTCTCTTTGCAAAATGTCGTTCAACTCGTAACGATGGGAACACTGACTATAACATGTCAGTTCACACCCATCGACAGAGAACAGGAAATCGGAACCTTTTATGCATTGCGCGCATGTGCATCTCCAAGTCCCCCTGATACATGCGATACATAAGCCATGTCCGCGATATCGCGGGCCAGATAGGACCTGGTACTTTCGCAAGCGGGTGAAGCGTTCGCGCATATGTGAGCCAGCCTATGCAGTAAAGAATGGGGATATAAACGAAGAAGACGACTACGGAGCTCCAAAGGTCAAGATTTTGGGACAGCGCCATGATTGAGGACGATGGTCTTGGTGGGAAGAATGCAGAATGAAATGAGTTCACACTCTTGGGTCCAGTGTCAGCATCATGAGGGGTAGTTACAGTTACCCGGCTGACCGTTCGCGTAATCGTTCGCAGGCCTGTAAGTCAATATGCAACCTGTGATAAGCGGCTGGTGCGCTAATGCAGTCAACCTTGAATATGTAGGGTCATCGAAGAACGAGTGGTCAAAGCTTTGGATATGTGGCTCAGATTAGCCTTGAATGCTTACTTTGTAGCACTTGGCCGGCGATCGACACTGAACAAGGAAAAGATGTTGCGAGGTCTCTAAGTTGGTCATATGCTGAGCTTGCACTCGTGGAATGGTATTAATTCTTGTGAATCGTGATCCAATGGCTTTTCCATTATCCAAAGCTTGCATACCCCTCAGTCAAGGTTGCACTATTCGGTCCCTCCGGATCCATACCAGCGACTATCCCCCTCATCCGCACGAGCAACTCTGCAACCCTGAAAGGCTTACCAACAACATCGTCCATTCCCGCAGCCATGGCTTGCTCGATCTGCTGCTGGCGCACGTTGGCTGTGACCCCGATGATTGGCACCCGCTCCTTCAACAAGCCCTGTTGCTCAAGCTTCCGGATTTCGGCTACGGCCGTGAGTCCGTTCATGATGGGCATCTCCCAATCCATGAGGATGAGGCTGAGTTCGATGGGCAGTTCGCCATTATGGAGGGCCTCTTGCGCGATCGCGTCGCCAGTAGCTTGATCGTGTTTCCACAGACTGGTCTTTGGTAGGAAGTCAAGGGCTTCTTGACCGTGATTGGCGACGCTCACGACACATCCCAGATTGCGCAGTTGTTTGGCGAGAACGCGCTGGTTTATGAGATTATCTTCTACCACAAGGACATGCAGCGTATCTGGTATACTTTTTGTACGCTTCAATTCTTGCAGATCGGGGCCCTCTGGTAGTCCTAGCGCTTCCGGTCGAACGTGAGAGTGTTCGGTCTGCGAGGATTTTGACTGCACTGACGGGCGGCGTGCTTTTGGACTGGCAGAGTCTGATCTTTGACCTTGCTCGCCTGTGGATATGCGCACGGGAGGAGACGGACGCGTTAGGCTTACGAGCGGTATCGGGCGTCTGTGCTTGATCTCTTCTGGGAAAACATGAGGGAGACTGCCTTTCCGAGCTACAATAGGTCTCGCCCGTCGTGATTTGATGTAGAAAGCAAACGTGCTGCCTCTTCCAGACTCGCTCGCAACGCCGATTGATCCGCCTTGTAACTCGGTGAGACGTCTAGATATGAATAACCCAAGGCCAGAGCCACCGTAGTGTATGTGCGTCCGAGGTGAGGCTTGTGAAAAGCGGGTGAAGAGATTGCATTTTTCTTCGTCGGAAAGTCCACGGCCCGTATCAGTGACGGCGAATTGAATGTAGAATAACTCTTGAGCTTTCTTCCAATCCTCTTCCAAGTGGGGGTCTTGTCCAACCAGCCTCTCCTCGTTATACTGTATTCCATGTAGCGTTGAGACGGGTTCAGCGCTACTGGCGGCCAGAGTCACTGTTACACGCTTGGTGGACTCCAAGCGGGTGAACTTAATGGCATTGGTGAGGAGGTTGATGAGAATCTGCAGCACCCTTGTTGGATCCAAAGATGCCCAGTCGATCTCCATGTTGCGATAGGATTGATCCACGTTCAACACGAGGTTGATACCTGCTGCTCTTGCTTCTGCGTCGAACATCTTCACTGCATGCATGACCACCTGTCAGATTATGAAGTTAGTCTGTGTAACATACGTGTCATCAAATTATAGGTCTTACACTCTCGGGTTGCGCAATGACCGGTGTCATGTCCAAGAGACCCGAATCGAGTTTGGAGATGGTGAGGATATCGTCGACTATGTGCTTCATGTGCGATGCGCAAACTCCTATCGTCTGGGCAGCGTCTAGGGTAGACTCGATGAAAGCCGTCCACTCGTTTGGTGTGGTGTTTTGGCGCTCTTGGTAATCTTCTTGGGGATAGGAAGACGTGATCGAATCCGCGCATTGCATGATGGCGCTGAGAGGGTTTCGCATCTCATGACTCGTCGTGTCCAGAAAGTGTTCCAAGTGTTGCTTGCCTTGCAGTGCGCTGTCCATGCGTATCTTTTGAATGCCTTCAGCCCACTTCTGCTCTAAAATGGGCGCGGGTGGTCAGTGCATGTATGATGGGTCATCGTACTTAAAGGTGCTTACTGGATATATCTGTAACATTCCCGACGACCTCAACAAGATCGCCGTTCGGACCCAACTCGGGGAAGGCTGAACACAAAATCCACTTGTAGTGCTGGGTATCCTCGGTCTGCGGCTCATCTGACTGTGACGGCGGCGTCCAGGGCATCCGCGTACGCAGCTCAAAGATAACAGATTCGTGATTCATGATTAGTTTTGCGAACATGGATTGGCAGTAAGAGATGTCCTCTTCGAACGCGATTTTATGCCATGCCACGGTGGCGTTGTCATCAGAGGATGCGATCTCAAATATATCATGCCATCGTTGATTACGGTAAGTGTAAGTTCCTGCCGGATCAATAATAAAGATGCCTACGTCGGATCGTTCCGCGAAGCGCTGAAACTTGCTTTCTTTGAGTTGTATTTCCGCCATCAGATGTTCTTGGATCTGGGCAGCCTGGATGATGGCGTTTTCTCTTTGTCGGACTTCGTCTTCAAAAAGAACGATGGAAGCAAGAGACGTAGCCAGCAACCGCACCATGACATGCAGGTATTGCTGGTACTCTTCGTCGAAGGGGCGGCGCGGATTTATGCCGATTATGAGGAAGCCTTCTACCTGATTTCCAGTGGTGGGTATTATTGGACAGATGACTAAGGTTCGACAAGGGTCACCATACCCTTTCCAGTCGATGCCTTGCAAGGCCCTTGTTGGATCGGGAAGGTCCTCGACGTGAACAACGGTCGCTTTCCCGGACTTGGCGGCGCGACTTAGGAACGGCTGGAGGATGTAAGAGTCTTCGTTGATATTGATGGTCGCGGGGGCGATGGAATGGTCAGCGGAAACGCCAATGGTACCCTTGAGAACGCAGCCTTCTAACGGAGGAATGCTACCGGGTGATGATACTGAAGGTATTTGAGCGCTAACATGCCGCTCGGCAGCATACAACAACGCAAATGGCACATCCTTATCGTTCAAGCTCAGTGAGCGCAATGTAGTCTCCCAAAATGACGGGAAATCTCTGGCATTCGCACTCTGGGTTCCCATTGCGACCAGACTAGAGACGCGGCGCTCGAGGATACGGTGGTTGGAAACTTCGTAGAAGGACTGGTAGTAGGCTGCCACTTGGCCGTCGGTGTTCAATATCGGGACGAATTGAAAAGACCAGTGTGTCTCTTCAAGGATCTTGTCTCTGTCAATGAATAGAAGCATGTCAGGCTCGGCTATTGATTCGCCAGTTGACTTGATGTAGTCTACCAGAGGTTGAAACGAGACCCAGTGATCAGGCGCCGTGACGCGGACACTTTCGCCCATGCAAGGATGGAGGCTGCCAAGGAGTTGGACATATGGTTCGTTGTACAACATGATGACATCGTCGCCCCAGAACATAACGGCTGGCACATTGTTACTGAGTACTGTGTTCGCTACGCAACGCAGATCACTAGGCCATGAACTCATTGGACCCAGGGGTGTATTTGCCCAATCTACACTGCGGAAGTACTCGATGTGCGGGCTGGTAGAAGTGAGTACATCGGAAGTACAGTCGAAGGACGCGTGCGGTGCTGCGCTTCGGTCTGCAGAAGAGCTGGTGTCGGCCTCGGGTGTTTGCGGTATCTGAGCAAGCGACAGCTGGGGCTTGATGGGTAGTGCATCCGCGCGATGCTTGCTCCCAGGCCAAGGTGTTTTCCGCTCGCGTCGGAGGGTGCGGTGGCTCTTTCCTCCTGGGGCGGCGTCGACCCACAGCAGTCGCGTCGGCACGCCGCTGACAATCTTGTAGCGCCCCACACTTGTCGCATTCCACACGTGCCCTTCGAATGTGTATGTATTGCCGTGTTGTTGCAGCTCCTCCTCAATCCCTTGCCCACGAATCCAATTCCGGAAGGCAAGTTGTGGTCCCGAGCTCTGCGCGAACAAGCTAGTCGACTCGTCGCCTGTGATCTTGGTCATAAGCCCGCCAACGGTGTGAAGCGCCGTGTTCGCATACACGAGTTCTATGGTGTGGGCTTCATCGTGGCCTAGGGACGAGCGTGTTTCGACGGCGAAGGTAGGGCGGTCGTCGCGGTCGAGGGCTTCGAGAAGCGTGAAGTCTGCCAGCTCTCGCTCTGCTGGCTTCAGCTTGGGCCGTGATGTATCGAATGGCGGTGGTGAGCCATAGCCGGTCGTCCCGTAGTAGTTGCGATGCGCGAGTAGTTGCCCGTTCGAGGCCATTTCATCCGGCGCAAAGACGAGTAGCGGAAGTCGACAAAACACACGACCGCCGCATTGAACAGACGCTGGAGCAGTGCTTTGCGCAAAAGGTGATTACTTTTGCCTTCCGTTGCTATCTGGTGAGCTAGTGCAGCTATTGGTCTGGCCGCTGCGTCTCTAGCTACCTAGGTATGATGACTGAAGCGTCTCGGTCCGCTAGCTGGCGGCTGCACGCCCTCGCCGAGATCTTCAACATGGCGTCATTGTGATTTAGAGTTGTTGACGAGCTTCTTCATCTTGAGCACTCGTTGGGTGTGTGCTCGCCGAGAGTTTGACGGTCGTGTTACTATCAGTTCACCTCGCTCCAGATTTCGGCGTTGCTGCCCTGCGGCGATCATGCCCTTGCTGCCGTGTCATTGCGCTAACCCGCAAAAATACTATTGCACTCAGTCACATGACGCCAAGCCGACCCCGCCGTGCCATCCGTTTACTCAACACTTCGCCTGCATGGACCTTCACTTGACGGAGTCGCCTCATCATTCTTACATTGATACTCTAGCTGCGATAGCATATGATGCACAAAATACTTGTCAACACCAGCGTCTACATCCCGACGTCCCACTCAAGCGATTTCACAATCTCCGCCTTTTGTCAGCTATGAAGCTGCATCTCAAGCCTCATTGTCCAACACTGCAGTATAGTCGCGGGCCTTACATATAACTGTCCGACATGCTGGACATCTGATCTCAGGAACTCCGGGATATACCCCGTTCACCAATTCATCCAAGCACCCGCGATGCAGTTGATGCGCACAGGCCTTTAGCTTTACGCACACGTTGTCAATGTCCGCGTAATCTTCAAGGCAGATTGGGCAGCGCTCGGTCGCTATTGGCGTGCTCATCACATCGCACAACCTGTCGAGATCAATGCGCGGTCCGGTCGGCTCTATTGGGACGTCCACGGCAGGGCCATTGTCGAGATGGCGAAGGATGTAGGCTTCGAGCTCTACGGTAACCACGTCGCCCATACCTGCAGGGCGTGTCCAAGAACGTGTATGATCGGGTCGCATCCCCTTCGGTGCCCCCACCATGTGCAGCTTCAGCAGGTTTGCACGTATGGTGCCGTTCGGATCTGCTTTCAATCGATCGACCTCGGCCAAGGCATAATAGAGGAAGTTGATGTACACGGTTGCGTGGAAGAGCTCCGGTGCGACAATATCGTAGAGTTCACGCAGAGGGCATTGCGCAAGGAACTCGATGTTACCCCTGGTATTGACGGTCGCCAGGGCCTCACGCACAGGCTTGGGAATGTCTGAGAAGGGATTCTGCAGCGCCATCTTTGAGGACAGAAATAGCACCTCATAGCCTTCATGTATCACCCTCCCGACCGCTTGGGGGGGATATCGAGCACGAAGGCTGTGTCGATCATCGAAGTGGTGAACGTCGATGGTGTTCAGTAAGAGCCAGAGGAAGTGCTTGATGATGTGCTCGATATCTTCCGCTGCGTACCCATCCTGGATACGTATACCGTCCTCGAGAAACCGCGTTAGACCGGGCCACATCTTGGAGTGTCTTCCTTGGAATGCCTGGGACTGCTCTTCGAACGCGGTGCTATACCAGGTTGGTGATAATTCGTTGGGCCACCAAGTTGTCCATTCGTAGTACTTCCACAGCTCTGGGCCTAGTGAACCATCAACATCGGCTTCGGAATGCGTCGCGCAGCTCAAAAGAAACCAGAGGCGGGCGCTCGCGTCGTTACTTTTATCCTCACGATCGTCTCCCGCATTGGGCAATTCACGTACGCACAGATCGAAGAATGCTTCAAACGGCATCTCAAGTAGCTGGCGCTTGGTTTCGGTAGAAGCAGTGCTGTAGTACACATTGTTGACAAAGCTTTGTTTTGTGTCGGCGCGGGCTTGAAGGTAGAATTCGCCGGTGTCGGTGAGTCGAGTATACGAGGCGCTATGTGCGGCCATACCCATAGGCTGCAGGATGTGCTTATAGACACCTGCGAAGTCTTTGACACGCGGTCTGAGCAGGGCTGTCAGCCAGGGTAGAGGGGCGGGATGCATGCCGTCGCGTGTAATTGGGGGTGGAGCATATGTCGTCATTATCGATCGTGGGACCGTCGAGTGATGATTCAGTGGAATTCGGGTAGAGTGTGTGGTAAGAGTGAGTTTAGTACCAAGGCCTCTGGGAGAAATGGAATGTAGTGGTACAGTTAAGCAAGAGCACTGTGTGAATTACGACATGAGCCTTCAATGGTTGTGTAGTGAACAGACGGCATTTCAGCTTTCAGTAGGGGAACTGCACCTTTTGTTGGTGAGCAAGAATGAATTGGCAAGATGCACTCAAAGTCTTTGCAATCATTGTCACCTAATAAGCAATTTCACTCTCATGTTACTCTGAATCGCACTACCAGACTTTTCACCCACCCGATTTGCAACTGTAAGGACGCCGGTTGTCAATAAGTCCGGAGATCAACTCATACCATAGCTGTACAAATATCCCCCATCGCGTCGTTTTGCATTCCATGATGCCATCCTTTGTTGTTGCGTATTGTAGATCAAAGGTGGGCAGAGGCTTTCTCTGCCAAGTGTAGATAACGTTGAGTGTTTCAGCAGTATATGACAACGATTATGAATGACTCATATCGAAACTCAGAGGGAAGGGTCATTTGTATCGTTTGTCTTCTAGTGTGGTGAGTGGAATGGGTCGTTCGCGCAACCTCTACCACTTCACCAAAGGGAAAAGATTAGTCCAATTATACAAGCACAGCCTACTCTACCTACCATTCACTTGACCAAGCGTCTCTTACTACACATCGCAAAGCCAAATACCTTACTAACAAAATCCAAAAGCCAAAAAAAATCGAAATCCCCCAAATGCTCAAACCTCAACTTCTGCCGCCACAACGACCAAGAAAACAGCAAAAAAGATGTGTTGTGACCTAACCAGGGGTCGCTTTTTTGGGCGTCAGCGGTGCTATTTCGAACGTGTGACTCTTGTGAGTCGTGTGGAGTGAATACTTACAACCTGGAATCTCTTGATATCGAACTGAATCGTAGTCAAGCGCCTTGCCATTGGGCCATTAGGCCAGTTGTACTGATTGATGGTGATTTGAGAAAAAGCATCGTACTAGTACTTGGTTGCAAAGGCTGTTGCTTTCGGTCAGTTTTCGTAAGATTCATTTGCTTGCTGGGGTGGGTGGTCGCAGTGTAGCGTGAAAGAGTTTGCGCTTGTGGTGGGGTTTCGGAAGGCTTCGGCGGGGTGGGGCACGGCAAACCTGCAAACTTGCAATACAATGGAACACGAAATTGACGCGACACAGAACAGATCTATGCATTGTTTTTGCATTTATGACATTGCATCTAATCTATAGATTTGCATCTATGAGGCTGCTCACAGATAAACGCTTAAGCCCTCGCTGCGGGCTGTGTGAGAGTGCTTCCGCCGTCGGGGTACAAGACCTGCTCATTGAAGAAAACACCACCTGGGCCAGCCAGCAATAGTACAGTAGCAGCCATATCAGTGTCGGCACCAGGACGACCAGCGGGGTTGCTCATGCCGGACTCGATGCGGCTCTTGTTGTCCTCGTCGGAAGTGCCAGTGGTCATCTACATCGTGTTAGCTCGACCTTTATCTACGTGCTTTGGAATCTGCGATTTACATACCTCACTCGGGAATACACCAGGTGCGATGGTGTTGACGCGGACCTTGGTACCCGCAAACGTCGTAGCCAACATACGGCTCAGATGTGTAGCAGCCGCCTTGCTCGACGCGTAAGAGAACTGGCCGCTGCTGCTTCCCTTCATGTATCCTGAGATACTGCTAACATTGATGACTTGCGAGCTGTATCCAGGAGTGACCTTGCCACCCTTGGCCAAGAGGGGAAGGAAGTACATTGACATCCAGAAGATGCTTCCGACGTTGGTCTTCATGGTGTCGGCCCAGTTCTCAGGCTGCGACTTGAGGAAGTGGTCGGAAATGGCTTGAGCGTCTTCCATGTTTGGCTGGCCGTTTGCGGAGAACTTGGTGTTGTCGTCGCGGGCGATGCCGGCGTTGTTGACGAGGATTTGAATACCCTTGGGCTCTTTTTGGCACATCTCTTCGTAGAGACGCTTTACGTCGTCCTTCTCGCTGGGTAGTGTTAGTCCCAGGCCGTGTAAATAATTTGAGACTGTTTGCCTACCTGACATCTGCTTGAATAGGGATGATTTGGCCTGGACCACCGCCGCTGTACAGCTCCTCCGTCTTCTTCAGTACCTCGTCACGTCTTGACGTGATGTACACTTTCGCACCGTTTGCGACTAGCGCTTGTGTGATCATCAATCCAATACCAGTTCCTCCACCAGTAACGAGAGCGGTGACATGAGAAACATCAAAGAGCTTGGAGCCCTTGAGCTCATCGGTGCTAGCCTTGCTGCCACTCATATTTCTGACAATTTGGTATGTAGTTCTTGGGAGAAATTGATTCGTTCGTACTGTTGATGTGATGGATTTGGTAGCTGTAGGAAGGTTTCTTGAGAAGAGTCGGAGCATGTTGGGATATGCTTGTAGTGGTTGCGACCTTTATGTGGTTTAAAGGTGGAGGAACGATGTCACAGTTGGATGCGAACATGATGACGTTGAGACGACGCATGAGTGCTTGTAGAGGGTCCAATGCATTAGGCACTGGCGCGACGCGTCGATGCATGCTATGAGCGCTTGCAATCATCGAATTGTGCATTCCCCATAGTAGAAGCGCACGCCACCAACAAGTAGCATGCTTTAGCATCGGTTTATGCTGGTGAAGACGGCAATCACGGCTAGAAGCGAGTTGAAGACCGATGCCGCTAGACATGCAACAGTTAGACATGGGCCTGGATGCGCAAAGATGTATCGTAGATGCTTTTGATGCAGTGTAGTCCTGTTTACACAAGCACAGTGCTTCAAAGCTGGCTCAGTCGCATCACCAGTGGTCACGAACGCTTCGGTTTGTCGCTTGTGATGGCTCCGCGGACGCAGTCATGCGACTTCTTTGGAGTATGGCCATACTTAGACAGCTAGTAACGAACATACGCCAAGACGATATTGGCATCGTGAGTACCATGAAGAGCTGACATCGCGTAAGGTGATGGTGTTGAGCTGGGTTCCGCTACTGGTGTGCACGAGCTATGACGCAATCGAACCTCCGAATCATCTCCGCACCATCTCCGGGCAGCTGCTCACCCCTTAATGAACGCCGGCTTAGAAACCGCGCAATTGTTACAAACCACCACGCCAATCGACTGGCAAACGAGCGCGCGTTGTCGAATAGCTACGCCTAGCACGTAATCCGCACACTTTGTCAGCACGTCTGCGATCATTGGATGCTGAACATTAGTAACACAGCTTGGCCTCGGGAATAGAGCTATGGCATCATCGCCACAGAGATGCCGAATGAGGGGAAGCCCCGGCGGATGAAGGGCGACTTGACGTCGCAATGGTAGGAAGCATTTCTAATCGCATAGACGTATATAACAGCATCGAAGCTGTCCTTGATCATATCCCATATCCAAACAACTTACCATACAGCCACTGATCCAGCAACTACCATCACCACTCTCGATCTAGCCTTCGCAAACCTTCGATTATACAATTCCCAATTCGATTGCGAACAATCCTACCATATCTGTCACCAAAATGACGACCACCGCCTCTCTTCCCACACCCGCGCATCAACTCTCCAACCCTGCGCCTGCCATCAACAACACAACATCCTCCGACGTCAACTACCAAGGCCTGCCCATCCCTCGCGGCCCCGTCACAGCATCGCTGTCCTTCTATAAAGCCCCCGAAGACGGTTCACCACCACACAACTACGTCGAGCCGCTCCCAGGCGTGCCACAACGGAATTGGGGCGATGACTGGACCAAAGTCCAACTCAACGATCTACGAGGTCAGGAGCAGAAATTCACACTAGACAACAACGCCTTCGATACATACCAGAACATTAAGAGTGGGCTGGATAGAGATGGCTTCTCCGACGATGACGCGGTAAAACGCGTATACTACCCAGAAGTCGAGCAACTGCTCATGAAGAACGTACAAGGCGCGCAACGAGTTCTCCTCTTCGACCACACGATCCGCCGACCGACCGGCAACCGCAACCCCGTCCAGCGCGTACACATCGATCAAACACCTTTTTCAGCCGCCGAACGAGTCAAATTCCATCTGCCCGACGAAGCCGAACAATTGCTGCAAGGCCGCTACCGTATAATCAACGTCTGGCGCCCGCTTAACGGCCCCGTCATGGGTAGTCCGCTTGCGGTAGCCGACAGTCAGACAGTGCGCGACGGCGATTTGATACCGATTGAGCATCGCTACCCCGATCGCAACGGACAGACGGCCGCTGTGGCGTACAACCCGGGGCAGAAGTGGTACTATTGGTCTGGCATGACGAATGAAGACCGTCTGTTGCTTAAGTGCTTTGATAGCGATGAGAATGTAGGCCAATGGGGGCGTGTGCCGCACACGGCCTTTGTGGATCCAAGGACACCAGAGGGCGCGGTTGGTAGGGAGAGTATTGAGGTTAGGGCATTGGTTTTCGGGTGAAGCTGTCACATGTCATCAGTTTATTGATGCTGCTGTCACATTTAGTTACATTACATAGGCGATTAATTCCTTCTAGTCAATAATTACTATCCATACACCTTCAAGACATCGCAACCCTGGCATCCATCCATCCAAAGAAGTTACTACACATCGCCTTGCTTTCAGACTGTATCACTAGCCACTTTAACACGTACTTGCTTACGGCGTCTAGCCTCATACTTTCTCACTTCCAATCTCTCCGAAATCTTATACAACACCTCCTCGCCAAACTTGCAGTCAAAGGCTCTTTCGGTCAGGCGCATCTTCTCTTTCGATCGAAGTGTCGGCTTCAGGATGCCAACTGTAGACACTTCGTCACCCTCGCTCGTTTCGAATCGCAGGTGGACATTTTTCTTGCCGTTGCGCTCTCTTCGGGAGCACTTCTCCACTAGCAATGTCAACATCAGTGGTCGTGGTTCTGAACCCCATGATTCGGGTATCAAGTGGCAGCTTACTGATGGCTTTTACGCTGTCTTGAAGCTCCTTCATATCTTCCGTGGTGATATCCGCTGTTTCGTTGACTTTAGAATTTTCTGATTTTGCGACAGGGTGAAGATCCGCCGGGGCGTGGGCTTTGGTACGTAGCATACACCGTTGCATGCAACAACAAAACCATGAATTCAGAATAGAGTCGTGGGCTTCGGGAGTCTCTGGATTTGCAAAATGGTGAAGATCCAGGAGCTTGAACTCGTAGCGAATACAATCCTCTGTTTCGTAGGGTGAGTCTTTTTCCTGCGAGAAGCCTAGGATGTCGGGAAAGTATTTCATCGTTTTGGTGCTTCGCTCGAAGGTAGTTTGTGGAATATACTTGGTGTAGTGTAGCGTAAAGTACATCGTTCTCTAAAGCAAAAGGCTTTCTACGTGAGCACTGAGTCTGATCGGAGTCATCTGGACCTACGGTCGGACTCATACATGACGCTCGTTGCTGGGTTCGGTCTTTACGCTCGTCTCTTATGGCTCAAGTTCAAACGCGATTGTCTGCGGGCCTTCGTCATCATCAATGGAATAAACGCGCTGACCGATTGCAGTATACGGCCGTGAGGAAACAGTTATTAGATTGGATCTCTCGAAAGAAGTATCGCAACTACTCGCCAGCTATGAGTTGTAAACGCCAGTCACAATCTTGCCAGCCAATACGTACGTGGGTCAACCCATGACCCAACCCCGAACGCACCAAGCTTGCATTTCGAATGGAATGACGCGGTTGGTTAGTAAAGCATCGAATTCATGGCGTTGGTCACGGATTTAGCAGACTAAGAGGCTCACGTACTCTCACTCCACTACTGAATCTTGTGAGAATACTCGAGACCGGATGCTCTAACCTGCGTGCCTGATATGCGTCTTCTCATCACTCATCGTTATGTCCTTAGTACGTACGTGATGGGATTTGCAGATCTTCTAAGTCACAGATTCACATCTAGGCAATGTACATGAGGAAAACTTGTTATCATTCTGTGCAGACACGATTGACGCGCCAGTACTCCCAGATGCATTAATACCCACCACATAGAGACGATTCATCGTCCGTCGATGAAAGATGACGACTTGCCAGTGAACCATCTGAAGATTCCGGTTCTGGATCCTCCCCAGCCTCTATCTTAGCTTTCCTCGCAGCTGCACGTCGAGCTTTGCGTTTCTCCTTCCGCTCTTCCTCTTTGGCTTTCTTCCTGGCTTCTTCTTCCTTTTCTTCCTCCAGTCTATAAGGTGCCATAATCCTGTCCGTATGTTCCCTTTCCGCATTCCAGAACCTGTGGAAGAGGCCGTCCTCTTCTTTGAAAAGTGCTTCTCCCACCCTTGGGAAACGCGACCCTTCAAACAAAATGGTAAACTGCTCGTTCGTCTTATGGGCAATCATTCCTTGAACCGTGGTCTCGCCGTTTTGTCGTTCGGGTTTGAGTAGTAGGCGCATTCCGCTTTTATCTAGGTTTTCAGTTCCGGCGAGTCTTTCTAGCGAACGGATCAGTCGGGATTTGCTCCAATGCTCCTCCATAAGAAACACCTACCCATCGGATTTTCAAATGTATGGGCTATCATAAGATCCCATACATCTTGGATCGTGAGTTCCACAACAGGTGACTCATCGTTCATCGCGAGAACATATCTCGCGTTGCCAGTAAGAATTTGCTGGGGATCATCGGCCGGTAATGCTAAGATCTGCTCTTTCTTTTTGGAGACGATAGCTTTCCAACTGGGAGTCATCTTGCTGTGTGTATTCTGTGTTTGAACTTGATGATTGATGTGAAGTGTGTACATGTTAGCAAAGCTGTCAATTTATATGAGCAGTGACTCCAACTACAATTTTTGTTCGACTCATATACGCACAAACTGATGAATTCATGTACCTGACGATTATCGCAGCCTGTCTTCTAGTCATACTGTGACTGCTCTTTAAGCTGAGTCCGTGGCGCGCATCAGTCATCGATGTGCTGTCATAGTGCAGCTCCAGGCGTCATCAGTCCTGCTTCACGTCGATTCATCCTCGCTCACTACCTTTTACAATGTCATCAGCGTCCGAGGTGCTTCTATAAAGGTATATCAGACGATAAATCTGTGGAAGGGTCAATATCTATAGGTATTGACATTGTAATTACTTGCGGATGAGCTGCAGTGATGAAATGGTGTTTTTCATATTGCACTGGAGTAAACATCGTACACGCGAGTACAATGTCAATGAATGAGTGGTCTTAACGAGTGTGGTGCATACAACTGGCGAATAGGAAAGATTGGAATAAAGGTGTGTTGAAGCACCTTCGCTAGGTGTTCTTACACCGACTGTTGAAATCGCGTATACCTCAATGAAGTGTCATTCTTCAGTAGTCGTCTCCTCGAGAGACAATCTCTTTGCAGTTGGGCCTAAGCAATACTGTCTATGAAGTGACCCGTCAGTCATAGCCAAATATTTCCACGATATGTGACTTACATGCTCGAACTGCGCGATGAATGAACCAGGCACATCCACCAGCGGCGCATATGCCTGGACGATTCCATTATTCACCAGCGTGCGCATACCGAGGTGGTATTTCTCCACACCCGGCAAGCGCTCAAGCTGACGGCGTCCAAATACCAAAGTCCCGAAGTTCTCATCGATGGTCTTCAATAGTGACTTCGCAGATGAATGATGGAGGCCGGCAGCGCTGACGCCCTCGTTGCGTCCGTAGCCGTATACGCCAACATCGTCATGGAGATATGCTTTGCCAGTGCTACCGAAGGTTTCGATTGCGAAGATGTCGCCTTCTTCCATACGCTGGGAAGTCTTCGTCTTGACGAAGGGAACTTGCTTGTCGCCATGGATGCGGTAACGTAGGATGTTATGGCCTGTGATGTTGCGCACCGCCTTCACGGGGATGGTCTTCCCGTTGAGCTCCACTTCGTAACTTTCCATGACCTCTTGGATCATCCCACTAATGTGATCAATCCTTGCGTCAATACCTGCTTCTTTCAAGCCTGTATTGGTAGCCGCCTTGACAGAAGCCAGTAGGTTGTCATAGATCGGATTGGCAGCCACAGTGAAAGCGCTATCCACGATCCTGCCGTTGACATGCACGCCGAAATCGACCTTGAGGACGTCGTCGGTTTGAAGGAAAACTTCCTTCGCTCCCGCATTAGGAGTCCAATGTGCGCCGATGTTGTTCAAGCATAAGCCTGTTGGAAAGGCGAGGCCAGCCTTGAGACCATCTCCAGTCTCAAGACCCTGGTGGCCAACAAGCGTACGAACACTGTCGTCAATTTCTTCGGCGATGCGGGTGAGAGACGCGCCGGGCTTCGCGATAGTCTGTATGTACTGGCGCACTTGACGATGGACTTCAGCAGCCTTGCGATAGTCCTCCAGGAAGTCTTCATTCATGTTATCCACAGCCGCTAGATGACGAAGCTCTCCAGCCGTGGTACGCTGAAGGTTCTCATCCTTGATGGCATACTCCACAGTCTGACCTTGCGGGTATTTTCGGCCCTGGTACAGATCCGCTAACGGCACCCTTGGAGGCACTGTCTGCTGTGTCGGTGACGCTTTCTTGCTCTTCTTCTTGTTGCGCTTTCTTTTCTTCTTCGCGCCTTCCCATTGTCAGCTCCAGATCGAAGTCACGTGATCCCAGCTCACCATCGTTGTTCTTCACGTCAGCTCCAAGCTTCGCGATATCATCGTCGTCGTCGTTTCCGTCTTCATCCTGCCCTTCGAGTACGCCGGGAAGCAGTCCGCTAGCGGCTGCTGGCTTGGGAAGGTTGATGATAGCGATTGCAGCGTCCGCCGACGACCCTGTAAGCTGTCAGCATATGTTTTCTCAGAATCGCTTCGATGGCGCTCACCGTCTGGGCCTTGGCGATGATCTTCTGGAGACTTTGACCCCATGACTGCTTCGAAGCGATTGTCATGAAGCTTCCGAGCTACTGTTGGTGTTGGTGTTGGAGTTGGTGGTCAATGAAGCGGCGCGGAGCTACCTGAGTGACGCGGCGGGGCCTGGGCGGGGCGCGCAACAACGGTGTGCCTTTTGCACTATCCCGTCTTGCTACCAACACGACGTCGCACAAGACCAACATCAACTCCTCGCCTCCATCAGAACTACGAGCGAGACCGGAACTCAGCCTCGGACTGCCAAAATTGTTCATTCCAGAATTAGACACTGTAAGAGGCGCATCGAACCCGGACAGGCCCCTCTCGTCGTGCAGTGGTACTTCGCACACCAGCAGAGTACAACTTCCGTAAGAAGCACGACAATCACGCAAGAGTATGAGGCGATTACCGTTGTCATTGTTGATCTAGACATGTCAAATGCTTCGCAAACGCGATGAACGGTTGGAGACCATCCGCGCATCCTATATGACCTGGAGAACACCGCCAACTGGCACTGCAGTGCCATCTGATGCTGCCTTCAAACCTCGGTAGATACGCAGTAGCCCCACTCGATCATCCCTTCTGGTGGTACAGACTTTCAAGACTGAATACCCGATCCTACTTGAAGATCACCTGGGCAATGATACCCCGGTGGTGGACCTCGAAGTTGCCGAACCTCCAACAACAGCTTGTTTAATGCTTCTGGGATTTTATCGCCTACTGCTGCTTCACTAAGTGGCTGCCCACCAGCTGAAGATACAACACGCGCTTGATATCTCTGGGTTCCCCTAAAGCGGTGCACGTATTCCCGTTCGACGAGCACCTTGAAGGCATTGAGGGAGTTCCCCGGCGAATTTTGGTCCCAGGCATCTACGTTGCGATACAGGCTTTAGTCGGTAGAGTTCAGGTAACGGCAGTAACGGGCGTAATTACCGATGATGTCTTGCTTCGTGCGCTCATGCTCAGGACCCAAAGCATCGATGGATATCCATTTGTGGAAACTTGTCTCGGTTCTTCCACTCCCAGCAAAGATAGTGCAGATGCACTGCCACATTGGAAAACAGTACGAGTTGGTGTAAGTGGTAAGAGATGCAAATTCCCAGCAAGGCCTTCTAAAGAACGAGCGGAGATAGGTATATTCGCAGCCATACACTTTATACCCAGTGTGAGTCACAGTCGAAGACGAAGTATGCCATCACCAGGGTCATTCCAATGTTTTCATGAACAGTCGCAAAAGCACAGTCAAGAAACTGGTCACGGAGTTACTAGTGATTAGGTGGTCTCTACATACCTGGCGACCTTATACAGCTATGGCACTTGTTACACCAACGGGCATGGCCAAAGTCTGGGGAACGATCGTTACGTGCACCTCGACGAAGCGGAAGTTGCGCCGTGCATGCAAACACGGCCCAGCACCGAAGGTGTACTCTAGGGAATGGATGTTGCGAGACTTACAGCGGCAGAGTAGCTGTAGAAGGCGGAAACATACTAGATATGCGTTGTAACTTGGACAACTCGTTAGTGGAAGCAGAGTTGCTTTCGAGATGGCGATAAGAGAGACAAGGCATCGAGGCATGAAGATCTGTGAGCATAAAGGTGACATTCTTCATACTCCTGGAGGCTGTCGCGGCAGTTTTATTCAATGTTGATACCGTAAGCAGCGTATACTTTCAAGACGTCTGGTTTTGAGAAGAACGTGATAGGAACGGACTCCCAACGAGAAATTGCCGAGGATGACTGTTCAGGTGTCGCCAAGACGTCGCACTTGTCGTACGAGAACGCCACCAAAACGAATTCTGACTTGTGCAACCACCCCTCTGCATCGCGCAACCATCACGAACGAGCCGTATTGCTGGCTTTCTCGACCTGTCTCCCGTTCAGAACCGCTGCAGCGTTTATACAGCAAAATCGTTCGTGTTTGGCGCTTCATCATGCTCAGTAAGAGTCGGAGTAACCTTTTCAATAAAGGCAAGGGCAGTGCAAGGTCTTTAATCCTTCAGGCGCCCTGTTTACCCCTGCAGAAAATGAGTCTGCAACGAGCCGCATGGACCCAAAGATAGACGGCTCAATGTCGCTAAACGTCTAGATCTTCCGCGGGATTGACTGACTCGCTTGGCAAGAACAGCATGATTGGTTGAAAGAGACGGAGCTTGGAAGAGGCGCAAGGCTGCATCAATCGCTTAAGGGGAAACGAGATGTGCCTGCATGCTTTGCACGACCGGTGAGCTAGCCATGTAGTTGTCTGGGTCGGCGGCGCGGTGCTTGATGGTGCTTAAGATGAGGGCGTGGCCCTGACGGCTGGAGACAGCCCTACAACTTTACTAATATCTAATTTTCGCGCTTCGCGACCCACGATCGTTACTTTCTCAGCGGATAGCAATATGGCTGCCCGATTCGCCCTCGTAGCAATCGCTAATGCCGCCATTGCGAGCGCGCAGTTCTTGGATGATGACTACACTACCACTCGTTATACTTCAGCATACTGGACCTACACCTACGCTCAAGCGGAGGTTGCCACACAAAGCCTGTACACATATTATGACGACACCGTCGCTACCGAGACTTACACTGAGTACCGCACTATCAAGGATGGAGTCACTCCTACGATCGCACCGTACTCGACGTCCACAGCCCTCGGCTACTACGACGATCTTGAGGTCGTATACGCTTATTACACGACTAGTGCGGTGGCCGAATCTGATCTTGTGCCTGAGTATGATTACTATGCGACTTCCCCTTCGGCGACGGCGACGACCACCGAGACAGTCAAGGATATCGAATTCAGCATGCCAGTCACGATGACGGCACCTGCCTCATGCCCCACACCATGTAAGTACTACGTTCTCTCTTCGAATCTCTTCGATACTGACTTTGACTGCCTGTAGTTACCATAACAACATCCGCCTCTGTATACGTCCCAACTCAGGTTACTGCGCAACTTTCACCAGCTTCGATTGAAACATCCTCTGCCACTGCCTACTCCGGCACCCTTTACCTTTGGGAGACATGGTACCTTTCCGAGAGCGCGGCGCCTTTCACGTCAACGTCGGACTACTACTACTCTGTCTATATGGCGGATTGTAGTACACCTCCGGGATCGTACAACACTCACACCTCGTCGTCTGGCGGCTCAAATCGTGGCAGCTCAGACAACGACGACAGTGACAGTGACAGCTCATACAACAGTTGCTACTACTACTACTGCAGATCCCGCATTATCACATGGATCATCATCGTCGCATGCATAATTCCCGGTCTCTTCCTGCTTGGTTTCCTTGAGTCTTGGTTCTGGTTCCGTCGCCTCATGCTTGGTAAGAGTGCCATGCGTTTTGGTACCGTCTGCTGGATTCTCATGTCGCTCTGGGTACTCTGCTTTACTCGCATGCAAGATCGCCGAAGCAAAGAAGACCAGAAGATGTTGGCTGAGAGGTGGAAGAACATGGGCAGCGGAGCTGCTTTCAAGGCTTGGTGGAAGTGGGGATTCCGTCACAGGTACCCTGAGGAGTTGCTGGGTCAGTTCAGCAAGACCACCGTCGGCTTCGTACCGCCTGGCCAGCCACTGTACCCGGCCATGGCCCAAACACCCGGTGCTTCCCAGCCTATGGTCCCTGGTCAAGTTTACTACTACGGTCCTGCGCCTCCGGGCTGGGTCGTGTCACCGAACGGAGGATTCGTCCCACCTCAAGGCTACACGTACCCACCTCCTCAGCAAGCTGGCTACTACGGCGATATGACTAAAGCTGGACCGGTGGTATCTCAATCCCCCGTTCCGGCAATGGGCTACCCACAACCGCAGCAGCAGATGGGCAATGCCTCTCCTATGGCACCTCAGGTCCCTCAGGCTGCGCATACTGCTCCTCAGAACGGCTCCCATGCGCCTACGCCATATGGCGCCCCGCCGAATGTCGGTACAATGCCAGTACAAGCACCGCCTCGAAGCCCCTCACCGGAGGGCCCATCACCCCCACTTCCACCTCGTCCTGTGGCTGAGGGCGCTCCACAGATACCACCTGTGATGGTGGGCGATGCAACAACGACAGACGATGCAGCAAAACAAGAGCCCGCCGCACCGGCTACTGCTCCTCCTCCGCCGAAGAACGATCCCAACGACCGGAGCTTGTATGAGTAGGCTTATTAGTCAACTCGATGTAATGAGACTCAATGAGTCAAGACAGCAGACCACATTGGTCATGAAGAAAAAGTAGTCGCAGTTTAGCATAGTTCTCCTTGAGCATTTCGCGTGCAGATACCCTAGCTCGGAGTCATTTCTCTACGTCATCAACTCGATCAATATAATCTACGTTGTAGTACCGCTGTTGCCAACATATCACCACCTTTCTGCGCCCTCGTGCGCTTTCGGCTTCCTCTATCAAGTCTTTTGACAGATGCATGTGGAAGGCTGCACGCCGTGAGATGTTATCGCAAGCTTTCACGTTTTATGGCAGCTACATATGTATATCAGACACTTGGCAGAATATGGGACTACGTAGGAAAAGGCACTGCGGGCTTACTGCGATGTCGGAAAGTCGTGGCTCGCCATCGTGAATCATGAGTGAACCGCAATACAAACTCAACTTCGTGTCATGGCCATGGAGTCAGTTTTCACTGTGCGTCATAAGATGCATAAAAGCGCGCATCGACTTCCTACCTTCACATCCTTGAATACAAGCTACGATGGTAAAACGAAAAGAGAAATCAAGACCAAGTCGATTCAAAGAACTGTTTTCAGAGCCAGAGCCGGAGCTCAACTCGAAGCCTGACCGGGAGATTTCATTCGACGACTTGAACCTTCAAGAGTGGGAGACGGATGTTGCGCGAGACCTTGAGAGAAAGATCATAGGTCAGTATCACGCAAAAGCGATTCTACAGTGCTGAGTGCGATACAACAGAATGGGAGAAATCGGAATGCCCGAGAAACCTCCGTCAAGACGTCGAATGCAAAATCTTTTACTTCCAATGGGAGGAAGATGACAGAAACCCTCGAAAGGTATACCGAGCTAGCTTTAAAAGAAACCCGACTATCCCTGGTTCAATCTACACAAGTGAGTGGGAAGAGGACCCACTTGAAGCGCTCAGCGATCTCCTCGACAAGGTCAAGTCAGGACATGACCCGTTTCATCCAAATCCACAAGATATATCAAGCAGGCGGAACGATATCGGTACTGGTCACACTACAAGAACCCAGACAGGGTATCTCAACACAGCGAACTCGGCGCAGGGAACTCCGATCGCGGTACGATCACAGAGGGGCGAACAAAACGATCGGTCAATGAACACGAACGGAAGAGAAACCTCTCCCGCAACGCTGAGAAAATGGGAGGCTATCGATGCCACATATCCAGAAGTCAAACTCTCTAGAAAAGAGAAGAGACTCGAACATCTCATTAGAAGTCAGTATTGCGAGGTTCAACTTTTTCTGTGACTACATCTACTAAACCCAGGTAGAGCGAGAGAAGAACCTCCATTCTTCCTTGTACGAGCGTGATAACCACAATAACTACCATGATGCTGGCCACAAGGACGTCTGGGTACTCTGGAAGCAGCCAAGTTATAATGGTGAAGGGAAAATGTTGACGGCCAGTCTTCGGAGACGGAGCGGGGTCAATAATCTCGATGATCAAGAGGTTATAGCGATAAGTAATCCGAGTGTAAAGCCAAGGGAGGCACTGCTGAGTCTCTACAAGAAGCATAGGCAGAAATGGCCTGAAGAAGGTGTATGGCAGCGGTGTCGGGAGCGTTGGATCATTTCTAGTTTGGGGTTGGCTTTGTCCTGTGGTATTACTAGGTAGATCAAATTTCCGTCAATATCATCCGCAAATGGAATGGGCTGTACAAAGATCTGGCAAAGGAAGTTACTCAGGGTTGTCGCTCGAAAGAAGTCACGATAATTTGAGTAACGAGGATAGTGGTTATAAGTGGGATTCACGACATACAGCAGTTAAAGTGCACTACGTGTCACTTGCGATAAGTCTAATATCATCTTTTTCTTGCTGTCATGTCTTGTGCCAAAGACGTGAGTCAACGGGGGTTAGGGAACTTCTTCGTATCAGGGGGCTAGAACCGGTACTCAACACTCTTTAACCGCCTTATCTACATCTTCATCTTCGCTCGACAGATATGCATCTCTCGGTCTCAACACGTCAGCGATCGATAGTGTCATCGTCAATGACCGATTCTGAGTGTTGTGGGTTGACACTACCTAGGTAGGCTGTGGCTCCGACGGCAAGTAGTTCGGAAGCGTCCTAAGCCTAACTCCTATCGGCCGATCCGGGAAGCCTGCATCCGGATGGACCCGACGTGCGCTGTTAGTGTTCGGCGATCCTAATGATCGGCTACCTACTTTACAGTCCGTGCGCAGCCAACGAGCCATTCGTATTCCGCTGCATCGTGAATCGTCTCAACTCCAACGCGGCATACTTCGACAACCACGGGTCTAATTCGAGCCATTAAATACACGGGGTCGCGTAACTACAGGATGCGAGCGCAAGGTTATAGTTATACATTTCACGTAGGGCGTAAGATCAAGCGAACAACCTGCCAACGTCTACCTCTGCTACTGCATGCGCGCGACTGGGGCTCTATAAGGTGACGGTACACTCTCTTCTACAACCTGTGTTACGCTTGCTTACAGGGCTAGGGGTTCTTCAAAGTGTCCTAACGGCACTCCGACCGCTTGTCCGAGCTGACCAGTTTACTTTTTACCACGCGCCAAGGCTGGCTAGAGCTACTCTTCTAATCGCGGGGATGTTTGCTTTTGATCGTGCCGCCTGTCCGAAAGTAGCACCGGCCCACAGTACTGTCAAAAGAGGATGGCTCAACTCGAGGAAGCGGACAGCACTGTTTTAGCTGACATTCAGCCCTGGCACCCGCAATAGTCTCTTATGGGTATGCAAGGTGAGCTTCTAAGCTAGACGCTGTCAGATAGACGTTGTTAGACAGATCCTACATGTAGAGCAATACTAGTACTGTCGCTGGCATATACAGCTGCCACACTAGCTGTCGCTACACTCTCATGCATATACAGCTTTGGGCCCTAAGACATGCAGCAAATGACATAATCGGTAGAAGCATTGACGCCTCGCCTAATAGTCACTATGACATATCCCTCAGAGGTAGACACCAGCTTCCCACATATAAATCGGTTGCTATCGAGTATCTCGTACTCTTTTTACTACGAGAACCCAAGGCTGCAGCTATGTCGTTCACAATCTACATCATCGCCATCAACGGCGGCCACGTCGTCGAAGCCGACAATGCCGGAAAGGAAATCAAGACCCAGAAAGCAACGGTGTCCAAGTCCCAGCAATGGGTAGTGGAGTGGAAGGGCGCAGGTAAATCTGACGAGTTCGCGCTTCGAAATGTCGCAACCGATGCCTATCTGGGGGCTCCCAAGGGCGTCAGTGGTACATATTGCACCACAAACGCAAAGCAGTTCTGGCGAGCTGAGCCTGGCCATGCGCCTGGATCTTTCTGGTAGATTTTGACGTCGAACGATTTACGTGCGCTTGCTTACAGTAAGTAGGTTAAAGAGTCTCGAGTTCGACGATGCATGCCTGTGCAACTCAGGCGCAAAGACCACCGCTAATAGCATCGTCTACATGTGGAAGAAAGATGTATGATGACATTCACGCCTACCGTTAATGATTAAGCGCTGACCGGATTATAGGAGGGTTGGGTCCAGTCTATGCTCTGGTATCTCAGGGATGTCAACGAGAAAAGCCCTTTTGGTCATGTTGGTCAGAATTAAGCCCGTTGTGGCTGATGGGACAGCTTAGACCAGGTTTCTGGCGCCGCATCTTGTGTTGAGGTAAATGACGGAGGAAATTGAATATGAAGCTTGTCGGCATATATATTGCATCGCGGATTCACCGATATACAATCACAATCTCAATTAGTGCTATAAGGAGTAGCTACGCTAAGATTGACATGAGAAGGGGATATAGTTTCGAAAGTTGACGAAGTATCTAGGTAAGAGACTTTGAATACAGCACTATGCCAATACTTCTTTGCAAAATGTCTAAGGAAACCCCTTTAACATTATCGATACAAATTCCTAATGCAAAGACACTACCAAATAATATCCATCACAAAGCTAAGGAGATCTAATCCCATTACTATTTCCACTCTCGCAAGATACCCTGTTCTCATTGGGTCAATTCCGTACTAGCCAAAAGCCCTACTCAGCAGACTCAATGACTACCGACTTATTAAAACCGCCAGTGGGATGAAAGACCAGCCGTTGCCTGCCTGATTCCGCTGTTATTATGATATCATTTCTGTGTGAAAAGCTATCGTCCATACTAGACTTACACTGAGCGTCCTTGATGCGTCCTGCTCCTCGTCTGGAAGCTGGCACTGATCAACGTTGGTATTCGTTTGCAGGGCCTACTTGCGCGGCCAACCTCCCCGAGGGTTTGCAGGCATCGGATACGGGTGTGGAGCGAACGGAAGCTGGCCGGCGCCAGCAGTACTAGTGTTGGCAGTTGCTGAGGTGCTACTGGAAGTGGTAGACGCAGTGCTCGTGGTCGCAGTGCCAGACCCGGCATTGCCACCAGCACTAGATGCAGCGGTGTTGCCACTAGTGCCAGATCCAGAGGTGTTGCCAGTATTTTCAGATCCTGTGTTTGACGACATATTCGAGTGGAAGGTCTGATATTGGTAGCGTTAAGTTATCGAAGGAGACGCAGATGTTAAAGTGAAGTCTGATATTTGATGTAAACTGGTAGACAGTTGGGAAGATAACAATGGATACAATGGCATTATCGTCGACTAAAGCGGCTTTTATACAGGCGATGAGTCTTCTACATCGAGTGACACTGTACAAAGTGACCGGTGCATGGTCGTACAGAACTCGTGCTTCTTCGTCACTTCGACGGCCTGGGATTGGGAGTTCACCGATCATCTCTGGCACGTGTGATATCTACATAGGAAGCAGAGCTCGTCAGTGACAGGCTCATTGTTCTTTCGAGAGGGTAAAAGATGAGGAAAGTAGACTATGAAGGTCACAAACAAACACGAAGCTGATGAATGAAGATTCATCTCGCGAAAGCAATGAAATGGAAAGAGGAGTGGGGAATATTTGACGCGAAGGTCTAGAGAGCATTCTGCCGCTGTTCAAAAGCGTTGGCGCACAGGCTGTCTTTCCAACAGACCGTGCATCTTTCGTCACCAAGTTGACTCCTAAGTGACTTACATTCACCAGTCACACATTCGCGTCACATCGGCAACGACTCATCTTCAATTCCATGACAACACTTTGACTCATGTTCTACATAAAAGCAACAATGGCTGCCCCTACTATTTGCCTAATCGACTACGCTTTGTACTCGATAATAAGAACTTTGGACCCACCATATCAAATCATACGAACCCCCACTCTCCAGCCTGCGACACGCATAATGGTCACTTATTACCAATACGAATTCGACGACGTGAGCGGCAGCAATATATTCAAGTGGGAACATTCCGGTTTCCACGAGTTGAAGCATCAAAATTCCCATGTCACTTTAGATCACGATAGACCCATAGAAGAATGTATCGGTATGACTCCCAACACCAGTTAGCATTGCCATACAAGCGACTGACATGGACCCGAGCAGCGGCTCTCCAGGAAATCTATCCGCATGACGAACACACAGCCACCACAAAAGTACACGTGGAAAAACGACAACTCAGAACGAGGGATAAGAGGAGACCAGATGTTTGGATTATCAAGGCGCATGTCGAAGATGAACTGGAAGGCGTCGAAGCCCAAGCAGGTGACTTTACAGCGGCTTTGACGAAGTTATACACGGAGCTAGATGGCGAAGCGAAGAGAATTAAGGTTATGAAGAAAGACGGACAAGGCTATCAGAAGTAGAAGCCATTCTTCCTCACAATGACCAATACAGAGAACTGTCCATCGTCAGGGTAGCTCACTCGGGTTGGCCAAGTCTTGTATGAAAATCATGTTCCGGAATAGCAGGTCTTACACTCGGACTTACGATATGTTAGTCATGTCAGAGATTCATCTCAAAACGCAGCAAAGTTCTAGCGCGCAATTGATGGGGTATGAGGAAGATTCTAATTCTAAAAAGGTGGTATCAATCCTACTCGCACGAAGGAATGGCGTGCAAGCAGACAACCGCACGAAAGAGAGCCCAATCCAAGCACATTACCCCGATGAACCACATCCCCAATCGAAACACATCGGAATCAAATACACGGGCACCTAGAGCACAGATGCCTAGGAGGCTGGAAGGCCACTTTCCAAATGACTTTTAAGGTCTCTGAGAGCATTGGTGATTCCTTCGGCCTTCCCACGGTACTTGTCTCTATTTCCCAGTTGAAGTTGGACAACAGTCTCTCCACCCTCCATCAAAGGGTCAGACCAGCCGTAGCCTTCTCTGTAAGTTTCATCGATGGAAACGGCTTTTTCTATATCACTGTTAGATGAGCACTATTTGTAGTGGCTATACAGCAACTTGCTCTCGATGCTCTCTTTGAGCTCCTTCGCTAAAGGACTACCAGAAATATCATGAGACCCGAGGCAATTGGGAATAGGTACGCGTTCCCCAGCGTGGGGTTGCGCACCGTTTCCGTGTGCACCGTTCGCTCCGTTGGTTGCGCCGTTCGTCTGAGACATGGTTGTTCGACTGAAGATGATAGGTAGGAGTTGAAGATGTGTTTGCTTTATTTGAAAGAATAATCGGGTTTGGTGTCTGTTCTACAATATGCAGATGAGAAACAGCCAAATTTATACTGCTGATGACTCCTATATAAGAGATCTGAGCGCCCATACAAGTCATATCTCGATGACATTGCTGAAGGTTAGTCAACAGACATGACTGTGATGACTCTGGGCCGGGTGACTGAAAACTGATATCCGGGGCCCTCATGTCTACATAGCGGGGGGGGGGGGGGGGGAAGGGGG